AACAAGGTCGAGGGTGTGGTTAAAACAGTGAGTTGGTTCATGAACACTCTGAGAGAAGCTAATGGAATCTAACAGAGAGATAAACGCGGTACTAAAGCTGTCGTTCTCAACGTCCACGTATTAAAATCCCCTACAATAATAACTTTGTCCGTTTTAAGGACTAAAGTTGACAAAAACTCTGCAAATTCAGACGGGCCAGGTGCTCGGTACACTATAACAAAAAAAATTGGTTGCAGTGAAGACTTAGCCTAGTCAAAGTCCTGACCTGAATTAGATTGAGATGTTATGTCATGACTTTAAAAAAGCGGTTAAGGCTAAAACCCTCCTATGTGGCTGAATTACATCAGTTCTGCAAAGATGAGTGAGCCAAAACTCCTCCACAGCGTTGTAGGAGACTCATTGCCAGTTATCGCAAACGCTTGATTGCGGTTGTTGCTGCTAAGGGTGCCCCAACCAGTCATTAGATTTAGGGGGCAATCACTAAACCACACAGGGCCATGTAAGTTCGGATTTTTCCCCCCTTAATAATACAAACCTTCATTTAAAAACTGCATTTTGTGTATACTTGTGTTATCTTTGTCTAATATTTCAAATTGTTTGATGATCTGAAACATTTCAGTGTGACAAACATGCAAAAAAAATAAGAAATCAGAAAAGGGACAAACACCTTTTACATGACCACTGGACATCACTGGAATTACACATACGTCTATCTAGTACCCTAACCAAATGATGTGTATCATATTATTCATACAATCAACGATATGTAAGAATAATAAGAATGGATGTTGTTCTGTACACACCAACAGTGGTGTCTTATCAGAACATTTTGACATTTGAGGTTGTGGGTGACGATGCTTCTTATTTATGTCAATTAACATTGTTTGTTCTCTAGGGTGAATAAAATATCTGAAAGATTTCACAGTGCACAGCTCACCATTTAATTAACCATTAGCATACCTCCTCAACTTAAGCCTTCTCTGATTTCCCATTTCCAGATAAACAGACATACCTACACAGAGAGATATAACAAAGTAAAATGCAAGATAAGTTGACAAGCTTTTTCAGTTTGGCGTTCGTATGCAGAGGCATGACATTGTGCCTGCTACAAACTTGGAGGTTGACATATTACCTGCAGATTCTACTACGTCATACGTCATCGTTCCGTTTTAGCAACTTAGCAACTTTGAGCACAAAATTAAGTTATTTGTCAAAATATATTTAGCGAACAGTGTGACTAATAAACATTGTCAGAAAATGACATGAAGTGAAATATATCATATCATAATAATGCCAAAATACACTGGAGTGGGGCTATTTTAGCAGTACAGTACTGTAAAACAAGTATTAATTATTTTTGGCAATAAAAGTAAAAATAATACTTTTGGTTTACATATGTATATGGTTTCCTTTTTTTGTATGCTGCTGTATACAACACTGTGCTACTGCTACAACAGTAATGTTTTGCTAAATAAATCTTTGCTGTTTCAACATTGCATTGGTGTTTACAGTGTACTTTTCAGCACCTCCTAGCAGATTACTTTCACTCTAGAACATTGTATGGAAATGTACACATAAGCCTATGAAAGACAAAAGAGCTTTAGCTTTAGAACAACAGTGTGTAAATGGTCTATCAAAGAACTTACTATTTTGAAAAAAGTGTTTGCCATCTGATGCAAGTGCTTCATTTTCACATGTGTTTATGGCATTTTGAATGCAGTGTTTCATTTTGAAGGACATGAGGCATTTTGCATTTTGTGTGAGCAGTTTGGGGAATTATGTGTAGAGTTTTGAAAAAAGGAGACATAGTTTTGAAAACGTGTGTAATCAGTTGTAATAAACTATATTGGGCAAAATAAGCTACTTGCAGACATGCTTCAGCATTTATAACATGACTATGACTATGAAAAAGAAATACAGGGGTGGTGATGGAACAATGCACGCCTTAGGTGTGAGAGACCCGGGTTCAATTCCTATCTGTGACACTATGTCCACTAACGTGTCCCTGAGCAAGACACTTAACCCCTAGTTGCTCCTACTTGCAACCGCTGACCTAAATAACAATTATAAGTCTCTTTGGATAAAAGCGTCAGTTAAATGAATGAGTAAATGTAAATGTAGAGAGTTGGATCCTTCCCTCATGTCATGAGTGTTGCATAGTTTGCCCACCAAAGGGCGTGCTGCAGCTCCTCTGTTAACAACCCTGCAGCACCACAGAAAAAAACATCAGCTGACCGCAGTCACTGTATCAAAAAGGCAGAAATGTGTTAAGAAATGGTTTCTGTAGCTTTGGATAGAATTAACAGAGTGCTGGTGATGAACTAGTAGAAAGTAGTCATTGTGGCAGATTATATGTAAGGTAATAAATACTAATATATATATATAATTATTTGCCTATATTATTATTTTTAGTAGTAGTACTATTGGTATTTTTATAGTTTCTGTATCGCTGGCCCCCACAATACACACACGTTCATGTTCATTAGTAGTAGTACTATATATTTTAAAAATGTTTTCTGAAGTTTTATACATTTGACTCTTATTTATCAAAACTTTAATATATTTTGTTGTTCTGCATTATGTCATGGTATCTTGGTGAGGTCTCAACATAACAAATGTTTCTTAAAATAAGAGGAAAAACAATATTGGCCGATACATCAGCTCTCGGATTTCAAAATCCTCAAATATCAAAATCGGTATCGGACTTAAAATTCCCGATTGGGCTCTACTGTCTATCCCAAATTTATTCAGGAAACAAGCATCTTAAAAATGGTTTGTTTGTCATCTTACGGACAGACCTGTTGAACAAATCGGCATCATGATCCTTATGATACATTTATTGCAATTAAATCCCTGCATAATGTTTATTTTGGGTTCATACTGGTGCAGTAAACCAGATTAAGGGCAAACACAGTCACTATATGCTTGCCTCCAACGTGATAAATAAACTACATTTATTACACGTACCATGACAAAGGAGTCAGAGGAATAGTTAAACATTTGGCACACCAAGCAAGCCAGAGCAGGAGAGAAACCATTGCTAGCTGCAAAGCTAAAGTACTGTAGCTAGCAAAATTGAATAGAGTAAACTACTGTGGGATTTAGCTAGATGAGTGCTTAAGCAGAACAAGTGTATAGATGTTTAAAGTAAGTAAAATGTATGGCGGAAAATTAGCAGCTATAATGAAGAATCTAGCAAAATAAACTGGGTTTAGCTTTACACTAACAAACATCACATTAGCCTAGTTTTGTTAAACAGGAAATCACCCAAACAGTGCTTGGTGGTTCTGTTCAAAATGTGTTAATGTTTGTTTGTTATATTTTCTTTTTCCAATGACCCACTGGTTTCACTGCCTTTTGAATATTATAATTATGTTATGAATGGGGTGAAAATACAAATTTCAGATGTGGTATTAATTATGCTGGTCTTGCTTCATTCTGCAGATGCAACTGTTGTACTAATCCCTACATGACAGACACTAATGCATTGGATATATTATATATACACATGTGGACCTCAGCTGGATATTTTCAGCTATGGATGAAATGCAAAGTCTCCTTTGGGGTGAGGAGATGAGGTCTGAATAGCAACCATGGAAAGATGATTATATGCTGCATGCATATTCAACCTAGTGCCATTACCCTGACAGCTTGAATACATGAGACGACAGCAAACAGGAGCTGCTTTTGCTTTGCCTTATATTTGCAACATAGTCATGGCAATGCTGTTTAATTCAATGTTCAACACAGGGCAAGACACAACCAGTGATTGTTCTGTCAGACCTCTCATATTGCTTTGTATACATTTAGAACACATAGTGTCACACATGGCATACAGAACAGACAGCACAAACAGAAAGAAAGTCTCTCCACATCAGCATATAGTGTTAGGTGCACAGGGATGGGGGTGACCACAAGAAGGACAACAAAGGCAGTTTCCGTCATTATAATAAGGATACCAAAGATGAACATAATTGAGTCTTATTTTCATAGTTTTGGCCATAATTCTTACTAGTAATAATAACATTGTAATCTTCAAGTAAATAGCTGACATCCACAGTGACATCACCCAAAAGAAGTCAAACAGGTCACGAAAAAAAGTAGTCAGAAAATCACAGGTTTGTTAACCAAATTGCTAACATGTTATTTTAGGTCCCCCTATTTTGCATTTATTACCACATTATATGTGTGCTATAAGATATATTTTATACTTTTACAACAGTGTTTTACTATATTGTATTCATTATCCATTTATACAGAAGCCTCTATTATTGGTTTCCCACAGGGAAGAGTTATAGTTAGTTGATTTGTCAAAATGCCAATAAAGCCTTGGTGTATATCTGCATTATATTTAATCTACATTATAGTGTATGATAAACCATTTATTCAATGCTTATATACTGATTTTATGCTAAATAGGGGTACTTAAAATAAAGTTAAGTTTAGTTAAGAACAACAAGTAGCCTACACAATGCAAAACACACACAACATGCAACCAGGCAAGTGGACCCAGAACCTGAATAAATAATAGTAATATGCCAGATTATGTAATGTGCAATACAAATAGTATGTGCGCATTTGAAAACCCATAAAGGACCCTACAGGGAGTTAAAAAGTCTCATAAAAGATTTGGAGTGGTGGTATGTTTTGCACGCAGGTAGTGCATAATGACGCTCAGATGGCAACAGAGAGAATTCACCTGCCAGGGCATGTCCCAGAGAGGCTAATATACTTGCTGCCTTCCGGATGATTTGTTGGTTACAGAAAGCATTAAGGCCTCTCTCTTTCAGTCCAATGATTTTAGAACAAAGTGCTGCCTGTACACTATACTTAAGTATCTAATTTCCTATATTACAGTATTACACCCCTTACATTTATGTAAATATTTGATTATATCTTTTCATATGACAACACTGAAAAAATGATACTTTGCTACAATGTAAAGTAGTGGGTGTACAACTTGTATAACACAAAATAACACATCACTCAGCCATTAATGTCTAAACCGCTGGCAACAAAAGTGAGTACACTCCTAAGTAAAAATGTGTTCAAATGAAAAGATATAATCAAATATTTACAAAAATGTGAGCGGTGTACACAGTAGTGTGAGATACTGTATCTATGATTACCCTCCGTGTTAGCACCTGTAATTAAAAATATTCCTTTTCACAAAATGTCAAGGATTAAACACCGCCAAAACAAAGAGACACCTGAACATTTTGTTATTTTTGATCATTTAAGATAAATAAAGATAACGCTGTACAAAGAGCAAAACAAAATGTGACATAATATACCAAAATAAAAACATAACATGGTGCGTGAGTGTTACTTGGCCATGTGCTGTTCTGCACTGAATTAATTCAAATAAATTTTATTTATATATTTTACACATTGTGGAGATCTAGAACGTACTCTTTGTAAGACCATACTCTTAATAAGTAATTTGTCCTGCTTGCTGATCTCAGGAATTAACTTGGTGAATGATAAAAAAGTTAGGAGGATCTTAGTGTATCATAATTACCATAGTTGTAATACATTATAACCATTTTATAATGCATAATGTGATTATAACGCATAATAATGTAATTATAATGCATTATAGTTATATATGATATTATAATGTATTACTACTATGTTATTTTTGGAAAACATTAAATTAGTGAAATGTAAATGTCAATCATTTAGTTGTTCATCATCACAATGTTGTGTCAAATTGGAGTACTCAATTTCTGTTAGGACCCATATCTTCTCACTGTCCTCTAGCTGTCCATTCTGTGTGTGCACTGAAAAAAAGTATCTGGTGCTTATACTCAGCCCTGGCTCTCTAAATGGGAAACAAACAAAGTGGTTCGGATCAAGTCACACACTATTCCAGCAGTTCCAGCTATGATGTGTGTGTCAGTAACATTTAATGACTTGCCCACAGACATTAATTTTACTTTCTAGTAGACATGCTGTTGTTGTGATTTTTATGCAGCAATTATGAAGTATACTTGGCCATATGTCATAACTCAATACTGTGCTATGATAATTGTTAGAAAGCATTATGAATATAGTACTTATAACTATAATTATACATTGGTATAAGAAAGGTATAATGCTGTATAATGCATCATAGACATGGGCGTCATACAAAATGTTAATGAAATAATTTCTCTTAAAATAAAATAAAATAATCTTTTGACCATCACTACTTCTTGTGCAAATAAAACAATCAAAGACATTGCTCTGCATAAGTATTAAGATGTAACATACTGTACATCACTGCCATGCATTGCATTTAGAGTATGGGACATCAGCTGAGTAAAAAAAGTCAAACTTTTCTGTGCTTGCATTTATCAAGAGCTGTCAGCGCTTTATGGGTTCAGGAGGACAGGTAGTTTGGTTTTAAATCGACTGCACAGTGAAAACAATCTGCACCCGTCTATTTCTCCCTCACTTGGTTGTGCACACTATGTCCTGGAAACAGGCAACCCCAATTTGGCATTGAGTTACAAGGGCATTTCTGCCAAATCTAGCCAAGCAAAGACAATAACCTCTGTGTATTAATATTCAATTTAAGATTGAGAACAGATGAACCTTGTGAGAAATACTGTACTCCAAATGATCCAGGGCTTAGTTTCTCTCTGCCCCACACAATCTATATAGGAGAAAATCCAGGGGAAACTATCATTACTTCTTGGTTGTCAGGATGTACCCTCTGAACTGTATAGCTTAAGCAGCTATCACTGGAAAGGCCCAGAGCCAAAACTCTTATCCCACTGAGTACACTGCTGCTCTAACTGATCCAGCAGTTTGTCCGCTGAGTCCTCTTTGTTCTCAAGTCTCAGGTATCGTCTCCCACTGCACTGGTCTAGCCGAGGCCAGCTTCTGTGAGTTTGCTCAACTGCACCCATAAACTGCCTGGGGATGTTCATGCAAACCTGTGAACTAGCTTCTCTCCTTGTGACTAGCGGCTGATTTATTTGACCCTCCTCTCCGAGGGCGTGGAGTCCTTCCTCAAGAAGCACAACAGTTAGTGCTATGTAAGGGTTAGTCCTGTAGCTCATACTGTGGCAGCGCCTCGGCTGGGCAGTCAGGATATCCACCTTGTCCAACCCTAGGGATATGGAGCTGGCAGACACTAGGCAGTTGTTGGGCTTGTCCTTGTGCTCAGTACCAGCCTGTGCATTAAAGTCTGTCTGACTGGAATTACGTGAGATGGATTTGGAGTGGAAGCAAGGTGGAGGCTCTGACTCCTGGTGGTGGTGGTCTTCTGTCTGGAGAACAGCTTGCTGGTAGATGCCCATCACGCTGTCCTCCTGGTCTCTGGAGTGTGTGGTCTGGAGCAAGGGCTCAGAGCTGGCCAGCTGCTGCAAACAGAGGATGCTGACATGGGCCGCTGGTAAGCTGCTTACCCACTGGTAGTGTTTTGCCATCGAGTTGGCTGTTGCTATTTCTTTAAGGTCCGCTGAGGGCACAGCTGCAGACACTGAACAGATTACACTACGCATCTGAGCCAGCAGCATCTGAGTCTCTCTGTCCCGGTTCTCGTACAGGACTGTGTTGGCACATATGAGAATGAAGAGTCCCACCCCCATGATTACAGGTCCCAAGAGCTTCATCCGTTCACTGTGGATCAGGCTGGCTGTAGATAGGAGGCCCTTAGCTCCCAGACTCCAGCCAGATGTCTGCGAGTCAGAGATACTTTCCCCCTCTGCAGCTCCCAAGATGGATGATCTTGATATCCGGTAGGGCCAGTATCCCGCCACAGCCAGAGCTGTGCCAACAACCACCACGATAACTCCCACCACCAGGAAAACTCCAGGCAGGGAGCGGATGCGAAGCTTGCCTTGGACAACTCTGTCTTTCTTGTTTCTGCCTCGTAAGTTGAAGTGAGACTTTTGATGGCAGAAAGGTGAAGCTGTTGTAACACCTCGGGCCTTCTGGGTCTTCATGGCACAGGTCAGTCAAGAGCTTTTGCTCCTGGTTACACCCTGTCAGAGGACTTTGGGAGTGAGGACATTTCAAGAGTTAATGCAGCTATAAGGGTGTATCTACATACATTAATTAAAATATATATGTTAGTCCGTATCTATCAGAAATCAGCTAAGGTTTTTAAATTTCCGTGATAGATCACAAAAATGTGATGTAGACAAATCATCTCTTGGTTACAAGTACGTAATTATGCATTTTTCCATTTATTTTAACCATAGTAGGCTATTTCTAATTAAATTTTAAACAGATTTAAAGCCACTATGTGTACGATGTGAACTTTTCTTACAGGTGCCCACTTGTAGTAGTATTAACAACACATCAGGCCTAAAGACACAGAATGAATGGGCTATACATAGACTACAAAACAAAAAATTGTACCATCAGAATAATCTAAAAGATGCTCTCATCACAGAAATTCTATACAGATTAGCTTTATAATCTAACTGTGTATTTCTACAGTTGCAGTTCTGCAGTAAAAAAACAAAAATCTGACATGTTTCAGTATTACAGTTTCTGTCAAAACAGTGGAAATGTTTGTTTCAGATATATGATGGCAGTAACGAGCATTGTAACTATTTACAATTTGAAATTTAGTAATTGAATCAGTTTCGTCAATGTGCCTTTGAAGCTAGTAATGTAAATGCTCTGTATTTGTATAGTGCCTTTCTAGTCATTCCAACCACTTGAAGCGCTTTACACCACATCACATTAACCCCTTCACAAACACATTCAACCGCTGATGAGCAGAGACTAAGATGTCAACTCCTCATCAGAAACAAAAATTCACTCATTCGCACACATTCATGCCACTGGGAGCAATTAGTGGTTCTTGCACCAGGACACTGAGACATGCAGGCCAGGGGAGCCTGGGATCAAACCACCAACTACGACTGCTCTTCCCCCTGAGCCACAGCTGCCCCTTTTATGTAGGGACCTATGATTTCCACGATGCGGAAAACACGACGGAATTGCAGAATTTGATGATTTAAATTGAATCAGCTAAAAAACACAAAGTTTCGTGGAATCTGCCAAAATGTGGATGCAATTTAGGGCCACAGCTGAAACTCATTGAAGAGTAATGTGGTGAATGGCAAGCTTTTTTAACGTAAACGAAGACGAACGAAATAACGAAACTATATGTGAAAAAACATTGTCGTTAACTGAAATAAAAATAAAAACGAGGCTTTACAAAAAAAACATTACTAAAACTATATTGTAAGTTTGGAAAACTAACTAAAAGTAATATATATACACACACACACATATATATATACACACACACACACACACACACACATATATATATATATATACACACACACACACACATATATATAGAGAGAGGTCATGTTACTTAGAAATGTGTTTTATTGTGGCCAAAAATCTTCTTCACCTAACGTAAAACATTATTCAATTCAATTCAATTTTATTTATATAGCGCCAAATCACAACAACAGTTATCTCACAGCGCTTTTCATAAAAGAGCAGGTCTAGACCATACTCTATGATTCTATTTACAGAAGCCCAACAGTTCCCACCAAGAGCAAGCACTAGGCGACAGAGGCAAGGAAAAACTTCCTTTTAAGAGGCAGAAACCTCGAGCAGAACCATGGCTCAGGGTGAGCGGCCATCTGCCTCGACCGGTTGGGGGTGAAGGGGAGAGAGAGAGAGAGAGGGATGGAAGGAGAGAGAGGGGAGGGAGGCAGCCTACACAATATACACACACAGAGTTACAGACAGTAAAGGTGATGTTGTTATAGACTAAATAAAAAATGGTATAGATATTTATAGTAGTGTTAATGATAACAGTCGTAATGTTAATAATTATAATAACAATAATAATAATAGGACTAGTAACAATAGTTGTTGTAGCAGAGGGTGTTGAGCAGGAACACAGGGGCAGCAGGTGACCCGCAGCCACAGATCCAGACTCCACAGCTCCAGAGCCAGAAACACCTGCAGGAAGTGATAGGAGGAGAGAGGAGAGGGACGAGAAAGCACAAGACTACCGGAAAGGGAGTTGTGTTAGTAACATGCAATAATGGGATGAGGTTGCATACAGAGGGAGAGAAAGTAGAGGAGAGAGGAGCTCAGTGCATCATAGGAAGTCCCCCGGCAGTCTAGGCCTATAGCAGCATAACTAAGGGATGGTTCAGGACTCACCTGAGCCAGCCCTAACTATAAGCATTATCAAAGAGGAAAGTCTTAAGCCTAGTCTTAAATGTGGAAATGATGTCTGCCTCCTGAACCCAAACTGGAACCTGGTTCCACAGGAGAGGAGCTTGATAGCTGAATGCTCTGGCTCCTAGTCTACTTTTGGAGACTCTAGGAACCACAAGTAACCCTGCATTCTGGGAGCGCAGTGCTCCGGTGGGGTAGTAAGGTACTATGAGCTCTTTAAGATAAGATGGTTCCTGACCATTAAGAGCTTTGTAGGTAAGAAGAATGATTTTAAATTCTATTCTGGATTTTACTGGAAGCCAATGCAAAGACGCTAAAACAGGAGAAATGTGATCTCTTTTCCTGGTTCCTGTCAGAACACGTGCTGCAGCATTCTGAATCAGCTGAAGAGTCTTAATGGACTTTTTTGAGCAGCCTGATAATAAGGAATTGCAGTAATCCAGCCTAGAAGTAACAAATGCATGGACTAGTTTTTCTGCATCATTTTTAGACAGGATGTTCCTGATTTTCGCAATATTATGTAGGTGAAAAAAGGCGGTCCTTGAAATTTGCTTAATGTGAGACTTAAACAACATGTCCTGATCAAAGATAACTCCAAGATTCCTCACAGAGGGCAGGGCGATGCCATCAAGGGAAACTATATCTTTAGATAATGCGTCATGGAGGTGCTTGGGCCCCAGAACAATAACTTCAGTTTTATCTGAGTTTAACATTAGAAAATTACAGGTAATCCAGGTTTTAACATCCTGAAGGCACATTTGAAGTTTAGCTAACTGATGAGTTTCATCTGGCTTGATCGATAGATATAACTGAGTATCATCTGCATAACAATGAAAGCTTATGGAATATTTCCTAATAATATTGCCTAAAGGAAGCATATATAAAGTGAAGAGGATTGGTCCGAGGACAGATCCTTGTGGAACTCCATGACTAACTTTGGCATGCATGGAGGACTCATCGTTAACATGTACAAACTGAAATCGATCTGATAAATAGGACTTAAACCAGCTTAGAGCTGTTCCTTTAATGCCAATGAAATGTTCCAGTCTCTGCAATAGGATCTGATTCAATTCAATTCAATTTTATTTATATAGCGCCAAATCACAACAACAGTTATCTCACAGCGCTTTTCATAAAAAGAGCAGGTCTAGACCGTACTCTATGATGCTATTTACAGAAGCCCAACAGTTCCCACCAAGAGCAAGCACTAGGCGACAGAGGCAAGGAAAAACTTCCTTTTAAGAGGCAGAAACCTTGAGCAGAACCATGGCTCAGGGTGGGCGGCCATCTGCCTCGACCGGTTGGGGAGAGAGAGAGAGAGAGAGAGAGAGAGAGAGAGAGAGAGAGAGAGAGAGATGTAAGGAGAGAGGGAGGGGAGGGAGGCAGCCTACACAATATACACACAGAGGTACACACAGTGAAGGTAATGTTGCTATAGACTAAATGAAAAATGGTACAGATATTTATAATAGTGTTAATGGTAACAATCGTAATGTTAATGATTATAATAACAATAAGACTAGCAACAATAGTCGTTGCAGTAGAGGGTGTCGAGCAGGAACACGGGGGCAGCAGGTGACCCGCAACCACAGCTCCAGACTCCACAGCTCCAGAGCCAGAAAACCTGCAGGAAGTGATAGGAGAGAGAGAGACGAGAAAGCACAAGACTACCAGAAAGGGGAGAAGTTGTGTTAGTAACATGCAATAATGGGATAAGGTTGCATACAGAGGGAGAGAAAGTAGAGGAGAGAGGAGCTCAGTGCATCATGGGAAATCCCCCGGCAGTCTAGGCCTATAGCAGCATAACTAAGGGATGGTTCAGGACTACCTGAGCCAGCCCTAACTATAAGCTTTATCAAAGAGCAAAGTCTTAAGCCTACTCTTAAATGTGGAGATGGTGTCTGCCTCCTGAACCCAAACTGGAACCTGGTTCCACAGGAGAGGAGCTTGATAGCTGAACGCTCTGGCTCCTAGTCTACTTTTGGAGACTCTAGGAACCACAAGTAACCCTGCATTCTGGGAGCGCAGTGCTCTGGTGGGGTAGTAAGGTACTATGAGCTCTTTAAGATAAGATGGTGCCTGACCATTAAGAGCTTTGTAGGTAAGAAGAATGATTTTAAATTCTATTCTGGATTTTACTGGAAGCCAATGCAAAGAAGCTAAGACAGGAGAAATGTGATCTCTTTTCCTGGTTCCTGTCAGAACACGTGCTGCAGCATTCTGGATCAGCTGAAGAGTCTTAATGGACTTTTTCGAGCAGCCTGATAATAAGGAATTGCAGTAATCCAGCCTAGAAGTAACAAATGCATGGACTAGTTTTTCTGCATCATTTTTAGACAGGATGTTCCTGATTTTCGCAATATTACGTAGGTGAAAAAAGGCGGTCCTTGAAATTTGCTTAATGTGAGACTTAAACGACATGTCCTGATCAAAGATAACTCCAAGATTCCTCACAGTGGTGCTGGAGGCCAAGGCGATGCCATCCAGGGAAACTATATCTTTAGATAATGCGTCACGGAGGTGCTTAGGCCCAGAGCAATAACTTCAGTTTTATCTGAGTTTAACATGAGAAAATTACAGGCCATCCAGGTTTTAACATCCTGAAGGCACATTTGAAGTTTAGCTAACTGATGAGTTTCATCTGGCTTGATCGATAGATATAACTGAGTATCATCTGCATAACAATGAAAGCTTATGGAATGTTTCCTGATAATATTGCCTAAAGGAAGCATATATGAAGTGAAGAGGATTGGTCCAAGGACAGATCCTTGAGGAACTCCATGAGTAACTTTGGCGTGCATGGAGGACTCATCGTTAACATGTACAAACTGAAATCGATCTGATAAATAGGACTTAAACCAGCTTAGAGCTGTTCCTTTAATGCCAATGAAATATTCCAGTCTCTGCAATAGGATCTGATGGTCAATGGTATCAAATGCAGCACTAAGATCTAATAAAACCAGTACAGAGACAAGTCCTTTGTCTGATGCAATAAGGAGGTCATTAGTAATTTTCACCAGTGCTGTCTCTGTGCTATGATGAGCTCTAAATCCTGACTGAAAATCCTCAAATAAGCTATTGCTCTGTAGAAAGTCACACAGCTGTTTAGCAACTGCTTTCTCCAGGAACTTAGAGAGAAATGGAAGGTTAGATATAGGTCTATAGTTGGCTAAAACATCCGGATCAAGTTTGGGCTTTTTCAGAAGAGGTTTAATTACAGCTACTTTAAAGTACTGTGGTACATAGCCTGTTGATAGAGATAGATTGATCATATCTAGTATAGAGGTGCTGACTAAGGGTAGAACATCTTTAAGCAGTCGGGATGGGGTCTAAGAGGCAGGTTGATGGTTTAGATGAAGAAATTATTGAAGTTAGTTGGTAAAGATTGAGGGAAGCAAAACAGTCTAAACATGTATCTGGTTCTACAGCTGTTTCTAAGGTTCCTGAGTTAAGAGATAAGTCGGTGCCAATTGAGGGCAGGTCTTGGTGAATTTTGTCTCTAATAGCTAGAATTTTATCATTAAAGAAGCTCATGAAGTCGTAACTACTGAGTTACTGAGTCTGATGGTCATTATGTGGGATCAACTTAAATACTTGCATTCATGTTAACAATTATTAAGTTCATGTTACTTAGAAATGCGTTTTATTGTGGCCTAAAAGGTAATTCATCATACTCAAAACACTGCTTTGAATTAATGTAATTCTGCCAGCAGTCTTAACTAAAAAATTCTAATGGAAAATGTTACCTTTTGTTTTTTTGTTGACCAAATGTTTTATTTTTTAGAGTGAAATCGGGACTTTCCCTAGCATTAGAAGTATTAAAAGGGGCTATATGTAGTTTTTTAATGAAATAAAGGGGGGGGGGGGGGGGGCTGTCAACTCCTTAAACAAAAACATCGCAAAAACATCTAGCTAGCTAGGTAGTTAGCGACACCCCGGGGTGTCTATTTGCGTCTATTGTACGCAAAA